AGACGGGCGAGGCGGGCGCGCAGGAGGGCGGCCAGGCCCCCGACGGCAGCCCCGAGCGGAGCGGCAGCAGCGGCGCCTACGAGGTGCGGGGCCGGGGGGGATCTGCCCTCGGGGGGTCCGCGGGTCCGGCCCGGGCTCTGACTCGCTCTTTTGTAGGTGTTCGCGCCGGAGAGGGGGGAGCACCTGCAGCCGCTGAAACCCGCAGCGACCCTGGGAGCCCCCGCCGCCTTCCTCTGCACCCCCGAGGCGAAGGGTAACGCGGGCCGGGGCCGGGCGGTCGCTGCACATCGAGGGCACGGCCCCGGGGGCGGTCCCCGCCGGCGGCTCAGCCCCKGGGGGAAACCGAGCGGCTGCTTTCGTTTGGGGCTTTCGGGAGAAAAGAGACACAAACGGGTTCCGGGGACGGGTCTGGGCCGGGCCCCCCCGGGCCCCGAGTTGCCRCAGGGGCCGCGGTCGGTAAGGCGGGGATGGGCCGGCGGGGCCAAGCTCTTGCCCACAAGCTACTTTCGAACAGCAAAGCGATTAGGATGTCCGCTAAGAAGGTTTTAACGAGGGCTTTGTTCGTAATTATGTAATTAAGGATATATCAGGACCATACTTTCATTGCTTATGGTTGAAAATCGGTTTATTAACTTTAAGAGCAAGATAAAGAAGACAATCACTCCGCGGCAGAGGATTTAGAGACCAGAAAATCCTATCAGGACCAAAGGAATGTCTCTCATCCCAGCCCTGTAAATACCGACAGAGGTAAGCACCGCTCCGCGGGGCGATGCGCGGCTCCTCTGCGGGCGATGCGGGRTGTGCGGAGCCCCCCCGGCGGGGCTGACAGCGCTCTGCCCCCTCGCAGGCGAGGAAGGGCTCGCCATGGATGTCGCCGGGACGCAGCTGGTGGAGAAGGACATCGAAAACTTGGCCCGAGGTGAGGCGGGGCCGCGGCCCGGAGCGGGGTTCGGGGTGCGGGGCTCGGCGGCCCGGTGTGGCGGGGTGCGGGGGGTCAGTGGCACCCCCCGGCCTCTCCCCGCGGCTCGAGGTATTTGTGTTTTCTGCAGGAGTGATTAACTCCTGTGATTAATGTAACGTAATGCGATTAGCGCCGCGCTGAGCCGTCTCCAGATGGAAAAGTGCGGGCTCCCCTCAACCCCGCCGTGTATTTTTAAACAGACGAGTTACAAAAACTGGTCCTGGAGCAAATGGAGTTGAGGAAAAAGCTGGAGAGGGACTTCCAGAGCCTGAAAGGTACCGGTGCCCTGTTCCCCGCCCATGCCCCGCCCCGGCCGGGGAGCGGGCCCCGCTCCGGGAGCGGTGCTGACCCCTCGCCCCGCAGATAACTTCCAGGACCAGATGAAGCGGGAGCTGGCATACCGGGAAGAGATGGTGCAGCAGCTCCAGATCGTCCGAGGTAAGGCCGAGCCCATCCGCTCATTTTATTTTATCTCTTTTTTTYCCCTGTGTTTTTAATTTGTTTTTTTAAAATATACTTCTTTCTGCTTTCTTGTTTGCTTGACTGGGGG